TTGTTTACGGGTCATTTTTTACTGTGTGGTCACTCGAAACTCATGTTTCGGTAGTAAGTGATTACAGGGCAGTTTTAATCTAGTACTGACTTACTCTGGTTGTATTGAGCTCAACCTATTAGCTAGCGTTTTCCTTACTCTGTTTTCAAGTAATCCATGGATAACCAACCTTCCCGTGATTGTCTAGCTTTTGTGGAATTTTAATATTTTCTTGCTTATTTAAAGAGTCTTTAGTCTATAAGACTAGTTTGATATTCAGACGTTCTCGTCTACTTTACGTTACGTCTCTACGTCCTCGTTCTCTTCTCACAAAGCGACGTCAAATCCAGCTCACTTGAGCGCAATCAGTCTTTCAACTATTTATGGTTCTTTTATAACGTATTTTCCCGCATTCTCTTGATGTCTGTAAAGTAGTCCTAGAGTAATTGTCTGAATATGAACAACGTCAAACTCAAATATGTCTTGATTAAGCATTTATTCATGGTATCAATGTGAAGCCACATGCCCACCCGTAAAGGTTGAGTATGTCTCTTCTGATTCCGCCATAAACATTGTTATTCGATTAAAACTCTCTGCCATGGAGTTCAAGTAGCGTTTCTATGTTTACATATAATCGTCATTCCATTCTCCTTTCGTATTAGTTACATGCATGTAGCAAACATCATATACTCAGGCAGAACCAGAATTTTGTAGGTGTGGGGAAGTGTTGGGGTGTGTGTGTGCACATAATCCCCAAGTCACGAACTCACTTGGGCAACGGCGCAGTTAACATGTAAGGTGTCTGAAAAAGTGGATCCCACTGGATCCGTCAGTGATATTTGTCAAATTTTGAACTAATTATTCCCTTCCCACGCTTAGCGTCTGCAGTCGTAATACCTGTAAAAAATAAACTTGAAAAGTACTTAATTGAAATGCATGAGAGCGCTTGTTAACTGCTTCCGGCGACAAACCCTGTCTCGCCAGACGCTTTGATTCATGCCGTGTAGAACACTTACCCCATCATGTAAATACCTCCCCGATTAAAATCAAACATGACTGACTTTTTAACAAAAGCAATGTTTTTAATACTTCTTGAATGAACTTTAAAGATCAAAACAGGCCATTTGGGAGATAAACCTGTGATTTTGATGTTCACTGACGGGCAAAGGAAACCTCCCAATTGGTTCTATCATTTGAATTTCAATTTAAAATATCTTAAGTTAGCGACACTATCCAATATATACTGTACTGCCTTTGAATACTTCTTCATAGTTTTATTTTGAAAAATATGGTTTTCATTTAAATCTTTCAAAATCTAAAAAAGAAAAAAAATCGCATGAGGCACCACTGCTGATGGGTAGAGTATCTTAGACATCTTATCTTTAAAAATTAATAAAGTTCCTTTTTTTTAACAAATTTACATTTCAAACATGGTAGGGGTCGTGTAGTTGTCAATTCATTTCTCTTCAAGTCATCATTGAAACAATTTGTTTTTTCACCAAAATATTCAGCTACAGTTTGATTTTTTACAAATATTTCTGTTGCAGGTATGAGTGAAGGTTCAATAGACCTGATCAATTTTAACAACAGTTCTTTCAATTTTCATTTACATTAAAAATAGACTCGGTATACTTTCTTTTGCCCCACAGCTTGAGTGCGGGGTTTGAGAGAATACCCAGAGCTCTTAATTTAATTTTGGTAGCCATTTTGCCAAATGTTACAAAAATTCGAATATGCGCTTTCAAAGTGTTTCAGTATATGTAAAGATCAAGCATGACATTTGGGAGATAAACCTCTGATTTTGATGTATGTGCGGTTTTTGAGTGATAACAAACGTGTTAGCATCATGTCTTAATTATATGTTTAAATTTTCATACATGGTAAATATTAGTAATACATATTGTTTTAAACGTGTATGGTAATCAGTATGCGCGGTATTATGTTACTCTCATGTGGTACCCAACTCGTTTATATACTTAAACGCCCATGACTGGTTACTGCGCATGTCGGTGTTTCTCACGCATCAACAGCCGACAAGCCCTTCCGCAGCAGCTGCACTAATTGTTTATTAAGTGCAGGTGGTATTGGGCATACTTAGCCGATTTACATTTTAATTGTAAACGACACATTAACAAAAGTAAGATGGTCGAATGTGCAAAATCGCCTCCCGACACCTGAAAGTTCGCTAATCGTCGTAAATCTCCGGTAATCTCCGTACACATCACGTATTTTGTGGAAGAAAAAACAGGGAGACATTTGCAGACAGCCATGTTTGGTTTCAGATTAGCGTCTAACAGATTCACAAACATGACGTCTTCCGAGAATCTTCCTCAAATGTGTACTTATTAATACTTCGAAGCGGAAAATGTATAAATATGTATTCGGTTTATAATTTCCATGAGGACTGAGGTCGTATTGATTTCCTATGTATTAAATACATTACCCTTAGTATGGATAACAACGTCTTTATTCACTGTCACGCCGTTTCTGGGCCGCTTCTTGCCTATGTATTAATGTGTGTGTAGCCATCTCAGACCACATGACCATGCTAAAACTTGAAAATTACTTTGATCTCTCCCCGAAATGATTTCGCTTTTGTGGCTGTAAGTTTAATTTTGGTCGAATGCAAATTCTTTCTTATTTAATAAATACTTTCATTTTGATTTAATCGTATATGTTGTAGAAAAGTCAGGCTTGAAAGGAAATACTGGTGTCCTTCCCAGTGCTGTTGCTTGCATATTGCTAAAAGCGGCGTAAAACCAGACTCATTCACGCACATTCGGAAACGTTTAAGACTTCCAGAAATGTATGATTTTTTAAAATTGAAATAAAACTATATTCTTGTTTTATTAAGTGCTATTCGTTGCTACTCTGCACTATTCCTCCAAATCTACCAAAAGCAATTAGCCTCGAGCATCTCGTCAATCTTGACCACTGGTTCCACACGAAAGCTCTAATAGTAAAACTAGACTGTTTACATGCAACATAACACACCGCACCCTGTCTCAATACTTTGTTTAAGGGGAGTTTTGGACCGTGTAGATAGTAAGTGATACTGTACGCATTACGCAGGGGAGCAGTCATTTCCCTTTACAATCATTGCTCGGGGAGCAGTCATTGTCCATCACTGCACAGTGTCGAGTACATGAGATCACGTGAGGGTAGGCCGGCGATAGTGTAGCCATTAGTAATGTCGCTTGGGTGAGAACCTCGAAATGTGCTGTTGCGTAGTATTAAAGGTGTTACAACACATCGCACATAATAAAGTATTTGTTGTAAATCAATACGTTTCAATCCAAATAAATAAATTGTTAGGGATTCATGTCATTTGATTGGCTAACCAACAACTATTTGCCATAGTGTCACCTTGACATGGGCTAATATCGTGGATGTATTTCCAACCTTTTGTGCAAGACATTGTTTTCTCAAATATATGTGTATTGGTTGTGAGGTAAGCAATATATGTGATATTTACCAGGCCGTCACTTGACGTCGTCATGTGAACGGTTGTTACTGAAGTAGCGTGTAGTGGTATTAGCGAACATAGCGTTATTTCAGTTTAACTATTGAATTAGCCTAAACCGCATATATCCTTTGTCACAAACAAACACCAGGCTCATGTACACCAAGCTATAGTGTTTACTTAAAGCTACACCTGTTTTAGTTTTAGAAGGACAACAAATAAAGGATTGTGTAGGGGCAAATAAACAAATCTTCTTATTCTTTCACAAACGGAATGCGGACCAAAATGTTGCGAACGATCTGAAAAGAGTCGTTTCAAATATTTGTCTGTAATTTGGAGATGTAAATGAATTATTGCTGAGACTCGGGCCAACGTTACGTCGCATGCGGGCGTCGTCTCCAAAGCCGTCAGCATAAGTCAGATGGCAGGCATGATTAGTCTGTTTACAGAAGTGTAGCTCACCTGATTAAAGGATTTGATGCGATCTCCCTTTCGCCCCAGCCTATGTAACAGTCGGTTCAACTTGGAACTTAACAGATTCCCACTTGTTGAAGTGACGTACACTTACATCTGTAGTTTATGTCCACCTGACAATGCGGAATGAGGACGATGTGTTTAAATGATTAGTTTTGAGATGAACTGTTTTATACGTATTGACGTCGCCACTAACTGATTTCAGATCCAGTTCAGCTTGTCCTTGTGTATTCGCACCTCACCATTGATGTGTGAGTTATCTGAAGACATCAGGACTCGGATCTTATGCTAGCCTGACCCAACTGACACTAATACACCACTCAATGGTGGGATGTCTTTCTCTGCAGTCTTGGATCTTCATCGTTTGTTGTGATAAAATATCATTTTTAAAACAGTTAAATTGAACTGAATTAAAAGTCAATTTTTTTACCTTATGCCCAAACCATGTGGTAATGTACGGTCAATCCTACTGTAAAATCGCCTTATTTCTATTCATATAAAAACGAGGAAGGCAAAAATCGTTATCTGAAGAAATGTTGATGAATAGTAATGTATTTTATCAATGATCTCAGGGTTCTATGATTCCATAGCTTTGGTATCAACCCCTAATAATGGAATATATTTTATATACATATATTTTATATATTTGGGGTTTGACTGAACAATTTCAGAACATGACCTGCCTCGTGGCAACATCAACACCCACTGTGGCCACAGGTAACCGTATTGCACCTTAAGGAGCACGTTTAAGGGACAAGTAAACCAAGATTCCACACCATCGCTTGTCCTGACATGTCTCAGACGACAAACCTTCTTGTCGTAAAACAAAGAAACGTATTTACATGGAAAAGCTGACTTCCGGTTTCACGAACCATTTCAAAGACATTTGGTGTAAACAATCGTCTGCGATCGCCGGTTTGTGATTTCTAGGGTCTGTGTAGGACTATGGGTTAAATACAGGTCAATGTGGGGAGGTTCCCAAGCGACCCCCTTAGGTGGACTCACCTACATGACATAAGTCAGTTCTAAAAGTACGTGATCCTGTAAAAAAGTGACACGTCGAAAAATCTATAAATGCCTGTTCCCTTATATTCCTCAGTCGCTTTCGTTCTCAAAACGTCTCTCAACTCAACGCAATGGGCTCAAAGGTCCACATCGTCATATTCGTGTTTGGACTTGCCGCCATTTTGTTTTTGAATGCGGTCGATTCCATCGATTTTCTCGACGACAATTTCGGAGCAGACCCCGGATGTAAAGACCCATGGACAACGGAGTGGACCAGAGATAACCAAGACTGCAGTAAAGTTCATTTCTGTGTACAGGGCAAGAAATACTGGAGTATAAACTGCAACGACAGTCGAGTGTGGTCCAATATCGGCCATGCATGCGTGGAGCCAATGTCCCAGTGGGACGACTGTAATCAAGTGATGACCACCCCCGCTATCAGTGAGTACACCAGAAGTTTGGTTTGCACTGTCATATATTTCAGCATTATAAGAAATATGACGTCATCAAGTGCCATGACGTCAAAGATATTTATGTGACATCGGTCAAAAAGGAGGTCTCACTAAACGGATTCATCTCCCCTTTTTACTGAAATAAAGTGATTGAGTATGGTTTTACGCCGCTTTTAGAAATATTCCAGCAATATCACGACGGGGGACACCAGAAATGGGCTTCGCACATTGTACCCATGTCGGGAATCGAACCCGGGTCTTCGGCGTGACGAGCGAACACTTTAACCACTAGGCTACCCGATCGCCCCTTGAAATAAAGACAATGGCAATAAATTTTCACTATGCAAAACTACAGGCACCAGTATTACACTGGGAAGCTCGTCAAGACTTTTTATGTTACATTCTATGGAACATTTAGCCATTGCAATGCGTCATATTACCCCAAATATCACACATTTGAGATTTTTAGATAAATTTGATTTACAAAGTTCTCAATCAAAATTCACGTTGGATGATAATACAAAAGGTCACTGGGACTTACAGATTATTTCCCACCTAGTGAATTTATGATTGTACTAATGGCACTTCTTCATTCGGGTGTGATCGACCACAGAGTTCTGGGCACCGTTCCACAAAGCGATCTTACCGCTAAGATGATCATAACTCCCATACTTTAACATAGGCTTACGACAATCGTAGCCCGACGATCGCATTGTGGCTCCGTTCCACCAAGCGATCTTAGCTTTGAGACTATGGTACCTCCTATACTTTAACATAAACTTACGACAATCGTAGCTAAGATCACATTTGGCACGGGGCCCAGGATATGTGCCCCACATGTATCAAGGACAAGGAAAAATATGAATTTTGCTCGAAGTTGATTGGCTAATCCACTCCTGTGTTCATTTGTTTTGGAAAAAGCCATTACGATGTGACGTCATATCAGTTGATTGTAAATAACATTAATATGACGTCATCCATTGTTCTTGACATCACGGGACGTCATTATTACAATAGCGGATTGAGCTGATGTCTCTAAATATGATGCGGAAACTTACTCTTTTCTCACAGTTTCTTTATATTGCATAATTTGCTCGCAATTCCGTATTACTGATAATATTTCCAAAATATATTAATTCACGATCTCGTCATGATATTCCTCCTAGTTTGTCAGTTATTCCCACTTTAACATACAATAGTACGCGAGAAAGTGCAATATCTAACACTGGAATCGGTATCCTGCATCCCCCGACATATTCATTACAGTGCTTAATGTCCACGTTCTAAAGAGATTGATCGCCGTGAATAGCTGTAAAAATTGCTGATGCGGCATAAAACAATATTCATTCATTCTAAAGAGATTGCTTGAATGGAATCTACATTGACTGATATAGAACTGTGGTCTCCAAAAATATTTGAACTCTAATATCAAATAATTATTACAATTGATCTTTTATACATAATAGCTACTATTACTACCGCGTTGTGCAAACAGTTGGTGAGCTAGCGTGATACTCAACGGCGATCTATTTGTTTTGATGAAAAATGTTAATCGTCCAGAATATTTGTCAATACATATACTCAAACACTCAAAGATATTTGATATAAACATACACTTCATTAGCATGTCCAACATGTCATTGTTTTGTTATGTTTACAGAAGAAAGTCTTTTGAAACCAATCTTGTATAAACATAGAATTGCATTTTCCAGATTTAGATGCCCATCACATGTGTTTTAATTGAAACATTGTACGTTGTACATATTTAGCTCCATTATTATACCAATTCTAAATATTTGTAAGTTTAATGAATTAATGTCATCTGTAAATATCAATGTATTAATGTCATTAACAGCTTTATTTGTCACTTTGAGAAATCATAAGACATGTGACATAAACAACTGAACATTATTTCTGTACATGTACTATCCACACATATGTGTACGATAGACACGTGGTCTTTCAGTATTTCTGTACATGTACTATCCACACATATGTGTACGATAGACACCTGGTCTTTCAGTATTTCTGTACATGTACTATCCACACATATGTGTACGATAGACACGTGGTCCTTCAGTATGTTTGTACATGTACTATCGACACATATGTGTACGATAGACACGTGGTCCTTCAGTATGTTTGTACATGTACTATCCACACATATGTGTACGATAGACACGTGGTCTTTCAGTATGTCTGTACATGTACTATCCACACATATGTGTACGATAGACACGTGGTCTTTCAGTATGTCTGTACATGTACTATCCACACATATGTGTACGATAGACACCTGGTCTTTCTGCATTAAAGACTTAGTCATTAAGGATAAAATTTAACATTTTGATTTGCATAGAATCACTAGACAGGACATTGTCGGTAGTTAATTTGAATTAGCGTTTTAATTAAAGATTTTTTGTGATCTTGCCCTTCGTTTGAAGCCATCGCTGACATTATGTTGAAGCCAACACGAATTTGCTCCGTTTCACATGTTCAGAAGAGAGAGGTATAAATCATTGCGACGCAGCGACGTGAACGGCTCACTTCGACATTTAGTGTTCTTACAGTTGTTCTGCAAACTTGGCTTAAACTACAAATAGGTAACGCGTATGCAAACAGCTGTTAGTGTTCATATGTTGGCCCTGGGATCTATTAAACGATTCTCTATTTGTATTTTAATACAAATTTAACATTCATATTAGATAAATCACAAACAACTCTCGTTCTTCATAGCCTCAGTTGTTTGATCTTCTGACGCTTGTAGTTGCCTCGCTCACTTTAAAATATCAAGCGAACCGATAAACACTGAACACTGAATAGTTGAGCACTCGTCACTTAGTTATAATTTCGCCTCTGTCATATAGTAACAAAAAGCAGCTAAATTCAACTTACAGCAATATTCCCGGAATCAAGTAAAGTGAGGTTTTATCTCAGTAATGTACGGTTTACCAACCCTTCGACATGGTGCACACGGATTCTAGCGCACAGCCGATGTAGTGACCTGTGGGTGTAATCTATGACGAGTTCTGTAACGTGTTCTATGGAGTGATCTGTGACTGTGTTCTATGACGTGTTTGATGACTATTTTATGACGTGTCCTATGATGTGTTTTGTTATGTGTTTTATGACGTGTTCTGTGTGTTTTATGACGTGACCTATGACGTGTTTTATGGCTGTTTTATGACGTGTCCTATGACGTGTCCAATGATGTGTTTTATTATGTGTTTTATTATGTGTTCTATTATGTGTTTTATGACGTGACCTGTGACGTGTTCTGTGTGTTTTATGACGTGACCTATGACGTGTTTTATGACTGTTTTATGACGTGTCCTATGACGTGTCCAATGATGTGTTTTATTATGTGTTCTATTATGTGTTTTATGACGTGACCTATTACGTGTTCTGTGTGTTTTATGTCGTGTTCTGTGGTGTGTTTTATGACTGTTTTATGACGTATCCTATGATGTTTTATCATGTGTTCTATGATGTGTTTTATGACGTGATCTATGACATGTTCTATGATGTGTTATATGACATGTTCTATGATGTATTGTATGGCGTAACCTATGACATGTTCAATAAGGTGTTATATAAAGTGATCTATGACTATTTTGTGATGTGTTTTGTGACGTGTTTTATTGCGTGTTCTATGATGTGTTCTATGATGTGTTCTTGTCATGATGCAGTGATCTATCTCCTCCCCAGATGACGAGCGTTGCGTCCTCCCCAGTGGAATGAACCCTGACCCCGACAACTGTGCCCAGTTCCTGGCCTGCACCAACCGGACAGTGGTGGCCACGATGCAGTGTCCAGAGAACACGCTCTTCTCCACCAAGAACAACACGTGCGAACTCAGTTTCCTAGTGGCTGACGAGTGTCGTACGAGACTCATTCCCGACCACGTTGTTGTTAGTAAGTACACACACATGCACGTGCACGTGCACACACACACACACACACACACACACACACACACACACACACACACACACACACACACACACACACACACACACACACACACACACACATGTGCAGCATAAAGAAGTTTGTCTCAAGTCATTTAAACAACACAAAGCTTCCTTGCGTTTTGTGATTTCATTTTACGTTGCAACTAGAGATTGATCATTTGTTCAGCAATCTCCCAAGTCCTCCTTTTATTTACTTTATGTTTTCTTCTGATACATTAGTTGAGTTAGGTGATTATGAACGCAGGAGAAGGAGCTATCTTAAATCTAGAATTTCAAATCCGATCCTTGGATTCTTTTAAAAATTAAATAAAAAGGAAGTGTATAAGAACGATTCACTCTTTGGAGGCAATGGAGTTAATTTATACACGAATCAAATAATAATCGTTGTTGTGAAAAAAGTTAACAACTATACCCTAGAAATCACATAGAGATGTTGTTTGTGTGCAAACTGTAGTTTCATAATTTAAGCTTAGATTTCATTCCACGAGAAATCCGACAAAAGCTTGAAGGTATCTACTAGGTATTACACGGAAACATGTATGTCAATGCTAGTTATCATATCACCAGACATGGACGTATTGCTGTCTTGTGTATGTATCTTGAAGGTATCTACTAGGTATTACACGGAAACATGTATGTCAATGCTAGGTGTCATACCACCAGACATGGACGTATTGCTGTCCTGTGTATGTTTCTTGAAGGCCTCTACAAGGTATTACACGGAAACATGTATGTCAATGCTAGGTGTCATACCACCAGACATGGACGTATTGCTGTCCTGTGCATGTTTCTTGAAGGTATCTACTAGGCATTACACGGAAACATGTATGTCAATGCTAGGTGTCATACCACCAGACATGGACGTATTGCTGTCCTGTGTATGTTTCTTGAAGGTCTCTACTAGGTATTACACTGAAACATGTATGTCAATGCTAGGTGTCATACCACCAGACATGGACGTATTGCTGTCCTGTGTATGTTTCTTGACGGTCTCTACTAGGTATTACACGGAAACATGTATGTCAATGCTAGGTGTCATACCACCAGACATGGACGTACTGCTGTCCTGTGTATGTTTCTTGAAGGCCTCTACTAGGTATTACACGGAAACATGTATGTCAATGCTAGGTGTCATACCACCAGACATGGACGTATTGCTGTCCTGTGTATGTTTCTTGAAGGCCTCTACAAGGTATTACACGGAAACATGTATGTCAATGCTAGGTGTCATACCACCAGACATGGACGTATTGCTGTCCTGTGTATGTTTCTTGAAGGCCTCTACTAGGTATTACACGGAAACATGTATGTCAATGCTAGGTGTCATACCACCAGACATGGACGTATTGCTGTCCTGTGTATGTTTCTTGAAGGCCTCTAATAGGTATTAAACGGAAACATGTATGTCAATGCTAGGTGTCATACCACCAGACATGGACATATTGCTGTCCTGTGTATGTTTCTTGAAGGCCTCTACTAGGTATTAAACGGAAACATGTATGTCAATGCTAGGTGTCATACCACCAGACGTGGACATATTGCTGTCTTGTGTATGTTTCTTGAAGGTGTAATTAAGTTTTATAGATGTCAACCATGGCAAACTATGTATACAGTCTTTTATAATTCAGATCACATATATGCACAACAAACAATCTCTCTTTCTGTAACGTCAACCCCTTGCAAGGCACCGATCTAGTATTAAGTGCAAGAGTAAAACAAAATATAACTCAATTGATTCAGAATTTTAGTTAAATATGTAGCATTCGAGTCTTAGTTTGAAATCAACCTTTTAATTCGTTCTTAACTTAATCTTAATGCATACAAATATCGTAGTCCAATTCAAGCTGCTATATTTGCACAGTCGTCCGCTGTTTACCGTCCCTGACATTTGCAACTTTAGCCAGTGTCCGAGTAAATTAGGTTTTGTGATCCTCACAATTCTGTCAAACACCACAAATAGTTCTGTCTCAATATCATCCCGTGATCAAGCCGTTTCATAATGTTTGTCTGTCCAATAGAGCATAAGGTCAGGCTGTCCCCTTGTGTCAAGTCCACTCTCAATGGTGTTTTGTGGTTCAGGTCAACCTCAAATATTAACTGTATTAACAGGCCAACGACAAGTTGATGTGTGGCTTTTTTTCGAAGCCAAGTGATGTATTTGATAGCAATAAGCCATAGCGACCTTTAGTGACACGTGCCCCTGATAGACGTGCTACGTGGGTAGACTTCAGCTGGTGTGTGGACTAAAGGAGAGACACAGGTGTGCGCGGAGAGAACTTGTGAGAGATGTATGAGAGACAGAACGGAATATTTGATACTGTTACGTTCTACATTTCAAAGGATAATTTCACACACTTCACAGGGGAATTAGTTTGAAATCGACTTGTAAGCATGATATTTACCAATGTTATTGAGCGAGGGGATGAATATTGCTATATGCCTATACGTCCTGCTAAATTAGGAATATGAGGCCATGAAGCTTTCAAAATACTTCATTATTGTTTTTATACGATTATTCAAGGTTACGTCTTGCCTAGTCCTCAGGGGAAATGATATTAGTATCAAAAGAGTAATATGATCCTATTCTATCATTAAAATGCCTGTCAAAGATTTAACCATTGTAGTCATCATGCTCACTTCATATTGCATGTCTATTAACATTATCACATCTCGACTTCAGCCACTGCCAGTCCAATCATCGACAAACCTTGCGAGGGGACCAAGAACGGTGACGTCCATGACCCCACCCATTGTGCCCGCTTCTACAAGTGCAACTACGGTCGCGTCGTCGCCAGAATCAAGTGTCCCGCAAACAGTGCCTTCTCATCCGAGAAGGTCAAGTGCGACTGGAGAGCAAACGTCGACTGCCAGGATCGTCCACTCTCTTGAACTCCTCTGATCACGTGTCCGTCTATCGACCAATGGTTTTGCTTCCTCGTGTCATATGAGAATACACTAATCAATGGCAACATCACCCCAACTTCTTATTTCATTGAATATCATTTTTGTTTTTAAAGATACGTTTGTTTGGTTTTATCAATTGTCGAACCAATTTGTCTACTTGTGATGACATCTGAACGAGGGCTATTTTGATTTCAGAATGATAGTTTAATACACACCTCATCTTTAATTTATTTCATTTTTGTTCAAAGAAGCTCGGATCGACATGATTTTTTTATAACTGTTCTTAATAAAACACTGTCTCAGAAAATTGTGTTCAGTCTATAGGCATATTGAAATATGGCGATTGACATATATGAACTGATAAGAGGATATGCATAAATAGTAACATTCTTCAGAATGCTTAATGGATATTAGAATAAGTTAGTGATCGAATGAATGACGTCATGCAGTGTATGTGTTTTGTGGAGAAATAAATTGTTTTCATTAAATATTGTGACTGTTATTGTCTTATTTTCGGTCTTTTGCCGCTCTCTTGGGTCTACAAGGGTCTATTACCACTCTCATGGGTCTACAAGGGTCTGTTACCACTCTCTTAAGTCTACAAGGGTATATTGCCACTCTCTTGGGTCTGCAAGGGTCTATTGCCACTCTCTTGGGTCTACAAGAGTCTTTTGCCGCTCTCTTGGGTCTACAAGGGTCTATTGCCACTCTTTTGGGTCTACAAGGGTCTATTACCACTCTCTTGGGTCTGCAAGGGTCTATTGCCACTCTCTTGGGTCTACAAGGGTCTTTTGCCGCTCTCTTGGGTCTACAAGGGTCTATTGCCACTCTTTTGGGTCTACAAGGGTCTGTTACCACTCTCATGGGTCTACAAGGGTATATTGCCACTCTCTTGGGTCTGCAAGGGTCTATTACCACTCTCATGGGTCTACAAGGGTATATTGCCACTCTCTTGAGTCTGCAAGGGTCTATTACCACTCTCATGGGTCTGCAAGGGTCTATTGCCACTCTCTTGGGTCTACAAGGGTATATTGCCACTCTTTTGGTTCTACAAGGGTCTATTACCACTCTCATGGGTCTACAAGAGTCTATTGCCACTCTCTTGGGTCTACAAGAGTCTATTACCACTCTCATGGGTCTACAAGGGTCTATTACCACTCTCATGGGTCTGCAAGGGTCTATTGCCACTCTCATGGGTCTACAAGGGTCTATTACCACTCTCATGGGTCTACAAGGGTCTATTACCACTCTCATGGGTCTACAAGGGTCTATTACCACTCTCATGGGTCTACAAGGGTCTGTTACCACTCTCTTAAGTCTACAGAGGTCTATTTCCACACTCAAGGGTCTGACCCGTGAAGATCCGGGTTAGAATAGGTCTTCAGCAACCCAAGGTTGTCGTAAGAGGAGACTGACGGGATCGGGTGGTCTTGGTTGATACATGCCATGGTTTCCCAATTGCGTAGATCAATGCTCATGATATCAATCACTGGATTGTCTGGTCCAGACTCGATTATTTACAGTCCGACGTCATATAGCTGGAATACTGCTGAGTGCAAACAAACTTCCAGGGTATATTGTCACCTTAATACACTTTCATACCACTCTTCTAAATACCCAAACTGGTCGCAATCAATCAATCAATATATATATATATCAGTATACATATATACTGAACATGTTCTTTGTCAGCACCTTACATGCGGCGTCACACAACTCACTCACTCTCTTTGTTAGTGACTTCATCGTCAACACCCACTGTGCGTCAAGTTTCAAGGTCGTTCTTTAGATTCCTCTATCTCAGACTTACAATGAACCAATGTTAGGGTTCGATCGCTATTTAGCAAATAATGGCAATACCTTTGACATATACGGAAAGTGTGCCCCTTAATTCAATAGAATCTTTAGCTAAAATGTGACAGGTAGATGTGAGATAGCGATTAACTTCACTTACATTTAGTTTTTCACGTGGCACTTCTTGCTGATCCACGCATTAAACACGTCATTGATCGATAAATGAATTATTTCCATGGCAGAGTCATGCGAATGACCTTGACCGTTACAAAAATGAGACCTTGGCCGACACGACCTTCTTCCTATGTTCACCTTTCTTCAATTCATTTCGTGTCTATGCTGCCAAGTGCTTGTACATCAAATAAGATTATTATTGTTCGGACAACTGTTGAGAGGATGATTGCACTTTACACGATTAGGACCAACCTCGTGCTGGAGGCAATGCAACCGTCAACCTTGACCACGGATCACGGTGTTTCGCCTGGAGGAGCACGTTTAAGGGGCAACAACTCTGTATCATCGCTTGTCCTGACATGTCCCAGACGACAAACCTTGTCGTAAAACAAAGAATCGTATTTACATGGACAATTTGGCTTCCGGTTTCACGACAAATTACAAAGAAAGTTGGTGTAAACAGTCGTCTGCGATCGTTGGTTTGTGAGGATAAGGTCTGTTTAGGACATAGGGTTAAATACAGGCCCATATCGGGAGCTCCCCAGAGACCCCTCCTTGTGGATTCACCTACCCAGCAAACATGACAAATCAGTTCCCGACGTACGTCTTTGGAGTCAACCTGTAAAAAAGTGACACGTTAGAAAATCTATAAAGGCCTGTCCCCTCATATACCTCGTTGGATTCCACTGCTCATACTTCTCTCAACTCAACGCAATGGGCTCGAAGGTGCATATTATCATATTCGTGTTTGGACTTGCCGCCATTTTGTTTTTGAATGCAGTCGATTCCATCGATTTTAGTGACGATAATTTCGGAGCAGACCCCGGATGCCAGGATCCTTGGTCGACGGAATGGACTAGAGACAACCAGGATTGCAGTAAAGTTCATTTCTGTGTACAAGGCAAGAAATACTGGACTATAAACTGCAACGACAGTCGAGTGTGGTCCAATATCGGCCATGCATGCGTGGAGCCAATGTCCCAGTGGGACGACTGTAATCAAGTGATGACCACCCCCGCTATCAGTGAGTACACCAGTAGTTCCATGTATTTAACCATGAATTATTAAAACATGTTTTAACATGGATGATATGAAACAAAATCTAGGACAGTTGTGTGACCGGTGTTGTCGGGTTAATAAGGTCATAACGTGTCTATTCACATGGTTAGCATTGTGTCATAAAAAAATATTTACAATTTGATAAATATTTTACACCCATTTTGTATTAGTTAGTCCAAGGTACAAGGATATCACTGCCGTTAATATCGCAAACATACATACAACATACACTAATAAAAATAAGTTAAGGATCACCGATTCCTTCATATTACTACAGTGAATCGGCCATGCCACAACAGATTGACTATATAGTAATATGAAAGAATCGGATGGTCCTTAACTTTTTTCCCAGTTGTATACATGGACATAAGTTTTGCTGCTACATTTTATTGTTGTTCTAGGTTTGGAATGAGTTCAACATAGGTTAAGACTGTTATTAAAGTATCAGAATAAGAATTCCAGTAATAAAATATGCAACAAAATGTAATACTCGTTACGATTCGTTTTGCATACTTATAAACAGGCGTTTGGGAAACAAAATAATCATGCGATTTAATAATCGTGGGAAGATATGTTGAATCATTTCTTGCTGGAATCGTTATTAGGTGTTCTCCCGAGATACTCAAAGACGCTAAACATGCCGGCAACTTAATGTTCAAAACAAGGGATAACAAAACATTTTGAAAAACCCATCCGTTTACACACATAACTCCTAATAGTAAATAAAACCAAAACAACTTTGGTCGCTGAACGAATCTGGCAGATATCAAGAAAAACAACAATAATCATTGACATGCACATTCCAGGAAGCAGGTTAGGTCGTATCTTAGTACTGCACTGTTTACTAACCCTTTCAAATGGTAGGTTCTGTTTCTAGCGCACAACCTTTGACGTGATCTGTGATGTGTTCTATGAAGTGATCTGTGACCATGTGTTCTATGAAGTGGTTTGTGACTGTGTCCTATGATGTGTTTAATGACGTGTGTTATGGAGTGTTTTATGACGTGATCTATGACGAAATGATTTGTGACTGCGTTTTATGTGTTTTATGACGTGTTCTATGAAGTGATTTGTGACTGTGTTCTATGATGTGTTCTATGATGTGTTCTTGTCATGATGCAGTGATCTATCTCTTCCCCAGATGACGAGCGGTGCGTCCTCCCCAGTGGAATGAACCCTGACCCCGACAACTGTGCCCAGTTCCTGGCCTGCACCAACCGGACAGTGGTGGCCACGATGCAGTGTCCAGAGAACACGCTCTTCTCCACCAAGAACAACACGTGCGATTTGAGTTTCCTCGTGGCTGCTGAGTGTCGTACGAGACTCATCCCAGAACACGTCGTTGTTAGTAAGTACACAAACATGCAGCCCCCTGAAGATCCGGGCTAGTGCTGTCTGACTCGCTGATTTGGTTGAAGCTTTTAATTGTTTCCCAATTGTGTGGATCGATGCTCATGATGTCAATCACTGGATTGTCTGGTTCAGACTCGATTTTTTCCAGACCGCCGTCATAAAGCTGAAATATTGCTGAGAGTTGCGAGAGCCGGAAGAATTTCGTTTTCATTTTGTCTACATGTACATACACCATAGCACATTATTTCTCACGCTCATGACATAAATTGAATTGGACGGCTATATTAAATAGTAGGGTCTGGGAAGTCTATGTAGGGTAGCACATGTAGACTCTCCACTAGTGTTGTGTACATGTTACAGTCAATGTGTAAAATGTGATACACGTTGGCAATTTACAAAATGTTTAATGTCAATGTTTTGGACAGATTGACGACAATTATCAAGAAGTTCAAAAGGGCTTACTATCATCACAATATACCAATCATGCAAGGATTATATTGGTTGGTTGGTTGGTTTGTTGTTTAACGCCGCGCTCAGCAATATTCCAGCTATATGACGGCGGTCTGTAAATAATCGAGTCTGGACCAGACAATCCAGTTATTAATATCATGAGCATCGATCCACACAATTGGGATCGATGACATGCATCAACAAAGTCAGCGAGCCTGGCCACCCAATCCCGTTAGTCGCCTCCTACGACAAGCATAGTCGCCTTTTACGGCAAGCATGAGTTGCTGAAGACCTATTCTATCCCGGATCTTCACGGGTCGGCAAAGATTATAAGCCCAAAATGACAATAATATTTCTTTTAATCCTATTAGATGGTTATGAAATTCAACATCTCAGTCTTTGGAATTCGTTGTCATTATAAAGTAAATGGATCGATTTTTCGGTCCATTTGTAAAATGACTAAATATTTAGGCGTTTTGTAAATTACATCAGTGATTTACACATTGACTGTAACATGTTCAACGTAGCATATTGTCATTGTGCCTATTTACAACGTTATGAACCTACAATAACATCAGCACATCTCATCTTCAGCCACCGCTAGTCCCATCGTCGATACCCCCTGCGAGGGGACCACGAACGGTGACGTCATTGACCCCACCAACTGCGCCCGCTTCTTCAAGTGCAACTACGGCCGCGTCGTCGCCAGAATCAAGTGTCCCGCAAACAGCGCCTTCTCCTCCGACAAGCGCAAGTGCGACTGGAGAGCCAATGTGGACTGCGAGGACCGCCCATTGTCTTGAGCACCCCCAGTCACGTGACCGTCTTTCGACCAAGGGTTCTGGTGTCCTATCGATTCTTATCACGTGACCTCGACTAATCTCACGGACTATTATCGTTGTTCTTAAATATGTGTTTGTAAATTTGTTTTGTTATGTTTTATCGGCTTTTGGGGGAAGGTGATGTCAAATTCATCTCATATAACAATTCATTTTTCAATTATTTCATTATGGAAAAATAATTAAGCTTCTTGTTTTGTTTATCAAAAACCGTTTCAGGGGCACCCTGTCTCAGATGTCTGTGTTCAGGTAACATAAAAGATACATTGTAAGGACGATACACGTATGAGCTGATAAGTAAATGTGCACATGTGCTGAGATCCTTCATTATAAGAACGATACACGTATGAGCTGATAAGTAAATGTGCACATGTGCTGAGATCCTTCATTATAAGAACGATGCATTTATGAGCTGATAAGGAAATGTGTACATGTGCTGAGATCCTTCATTATAAGAACGATACACGTATGAGCTGATAAGTAAATGTGCACATGTGCTGAGATCCTTCATTATAAGAACGATACACGTATGAGCTGATAAGTAAATGTGCACATGTGCTGAGATCCTTCTTCATTATAAGAACGATACACGTATGAGCTGATAAGTAAATGTGCACATGTGCTGAGATCCTTCATTATAAGAACGATACACGTATGAGCTGATAAGAAAATGTGCACATGTGCTGAGATCCTTCATTATAAGAACGATGCATTTATGAGCTGATAAAGAAATGTGCACATGTGCTGAGATCCTTCATTATAAGAACGATACATTTATGAGCTGATAAGGAAATGTGCACATGTACGGACATCCTTCATTATAAGAACGATACACTTATGAGCTGATAAGGAAATGTGCACATGTACTGAGATCCTTCATTATAAGAACGATACACGTATGAGCTGATAAGTAAATGTGCACATGTGCTGAGATCCTTCATTATAAGAACGATACACGTATGAGCTGATAAGAAAATGTGCTCATGTGCTGAGATCCTTCATTATAAGAACGATACATTTATGAGCTGATAAGGAAATGTGCACATGTACGGACATCCTTCATTATAAGAACGATACACTTATGAGCTGATAAAGAATTGTACATAAATACTAAGACTCTTCATCATTTTTACTGGATGTAAGAACAATAGCGCCTGAAAAAAACGTAGTGATTCTTGTTGAGCTAGTGAATGATTGAATGACATTATGCAGTGTATGTGTTTCCCGAAGTAATAAACTGTTTTGATTAAATATTGTGATTGTTATTGATCCCACAATGGGACATAGCAAATACCAATGCGTTCGAACAGGATTTACTTAAATACGCATGTCTCGATTGTATAGTCGTATTGGCGTTCAAGTGTCTATAAGAATATCTGCGTTCGATTCTTACATGGGAAATGTGTTTGCAGCCACACTTCTGCATTAACCTAAATAAACGAGAAAGAAACATAACATAACCACATAAAATCTAAGTCCATTGTACGCTTCCGACTACATCATAAGCATGTCTTTATGAATCACTATCAAATAGTAATGATACCAGGTGTGCGTGAAAAGGTGAGCGTATCCTGCCCCACCGGTGGCACCCGTTACAAACACATACAAAGGCAAGTCATATGTTCACCTGTGTGAGTGAGTGAATGAGTATGGTTTTACGCCGCTTTAGCAATATACACTGAGCAGAAAACCAAACACGGGTCTATGTCAGCATTCCCATATATTTCCAACAATGGTCTATGTCAGCATTCCCATATATTTCCAACAGTGGACAGAGAACAATAGTCTATGTCAGCATTCCCATATATTTCCAACAATGGTCTCTGTCAGCATTCCCATATATTTCCAACAATGGACAGAGAACAGTAGTCTATGTCAGCATTTCCATATATTTCCAACCCTGGACAGAGAACAATGGTCTGTGTCAGTATTCACATATATTTCCAACACTGGACAGAGAACAATGGTCTATGTCAGCATTCCCATATATTTTCAACACTGGACAGAGAACAATGGTCTGTGTCAGTATTACCATATATTTCCAACACTGGACAGAGAACAATGGTCTATGTCAGCATTCCCATATATTTCCAAAATTGGACAGAGAACAATGGTCTGTGTCAGCATTTCTAACATTAACCGACAGTTTGATACAACACATTCCAAAAACAGTAAACAAACATTATCCTTCAGCATATTATTAAATCGGCATTAACAGTTATATATATAAATATACAATCCCAAAATGTGCTTGAAAATACATATTAGCTGATTTGATAATGTCTTTACTCCATTCTTAATTTAGATATTTAGTTAAATTGCTGGATAAATAACTCTCTGATCTCGCGAAGATACTCCTCTCCCTTCTATGGTCTAAGCACGTTCAATAGATTGACTGTCAACCTGCTGTTAGTTCAGTTGGTTTAATCACAACCCTGAAAGTCGGGATCCCGGATTTACACCCGCCGGCCGGTCAAGTTTCTTGAATAAACCCGTTGTTACACATGTCATCACACGGACACTAGGGGTTCTAATAACGCCGCATGTATTAGGTTGTACGTTACGGCCTTCCAGCGCGAGGATTTCTTTTTCATGCCTACTCCACCATACCCGTTTCTTCATTACGACTACTTTATGATAGCAGTCTCTTCTTTGTGGCTAATTCGTGATAGCTGTTTCCTCTCTTATGCCTACTTTGTCATAACTGTTTCTTCTTCACGCCTACTCCGTGATAGCCTTTCTTCTTGACGCCTACTCCGCGATATCCGTTTCTTCGTGACGCCTACTCCGCGATAGCCGTTTCTCCTTTACACCTACTCCGTGAAAGCCTTTCTTCTTGACGCCTACTCCGCGATAGCCGTTTCTTCTTGACGCCTACTCCGCGATAGCCGTGTCTTCTTGACGCCTACTCCGTGATAGCCGTTTCTTCTTGATGCCTACTCCGTGATAGCCTTTCTTCTTCACGCCTCCTCCGCGATAGCCGTTTCTTCGTTACACCTACTCCGTGATAGCCTTTTTTCTTCACGCCTACTCCGTGATAGCCTTTCTTCTTGATGCCTACTCCGTGATAGCCTTTCTTCTTCACGCCTCCTCCGCGATAGCCGTTTCTTCGTTACACCTACTCCGCGATAGCCGTTTCTTCTTGACGCCTACTCCGTGATAGCCTTTCTTCTTCACGCCTACTCCGCGATAGCCGTTTCGTCTTGACGCCTACTCCGCGATAGCCGTGTCTTCTTGACGCCTACTCCGTGATAGCCGTTTCTTCTTGATGCCTACTCCGTGATAGCCTTTCTTCTTCACGCCTCCTCCGCGATAGCCGTTTCTTCGTTACACCTACTCCGTGATAGCCTTTTTTCTTCACGCCTACTCCGTGATAGCCTTTCTTCTTGATGCCTACTCCGTGATAGCCTCTCTTCTTCACGCCTCCTCCGCGATAGCCGTTTCTTCGTTACACCTACTCCGCGATAGCCGTTTCTTCTTGACGCCTACTCCGTGATAGCCTTTCTTCTTGACGCCTACTCCGCGATAGCCGTTTCTTCTTGACGCCTACTCCGCGATAGCCGTTTCTTCTTGACGCCTACTCCGTGATAGCCTTTTTTCTTCACGCCTACTCCGGGATAGCCGTTTATTCTTGACGCCTACTCTGTGATGGCCTTTCTTCTTGACGCCTTTTCCACGATAGCCTTTCTTCTTGATGCCTACTCCGTGAGAGATTTACTACTTCTACCACCCTAATTCTTCTGTACACCTACTTCTTCCTACCTGTTTCTTCTGTACACGTTCTTCTTCCTACCTGTTTCTTCTGTACACCTACTTCTTCCTACCTGTTTCTTCTTTACACCTACTTCTTCCTACCTGTTTCTTCTTTACACCTACTTCTTCCTACCTGTTTCTTCTTTACACCTACTTCTTCCTACCTGTTTCTTCTTTACACCTACTTCATCCTACTTGTTTCTTCTTTACACCTACTTCTTCCTACCTGTTTCTTCTGTACACCTACTTCATCCTACTTGTTTCTTCTGTACACATACTTCATCCTACTTGTTTCTTCTTTACACCTACTTCTTCCTACCTGTTTCTTCTGTACACGTTCTTCTTCCCACCTGTTTCTTCTGTACACGTTCTTCTTCCCACCTGTTTCTTCTGTACACGTTCTTCTTCCTACCTGTTTCTTCTGTACACCTACTTCTTCCTACCTGTTTCTTCTGTACACCTACTTCATCCTACCTGTTTCTTCTTTACACCTACTTCATCCTACCTGTTTCTTCTGTACACCTACTTCATCCTACCTGTTTCTTCTGTACACCTACTTCATCCTACTTGTTTCTTCTTTACACCTACTTCATCCTACCTGTTTCTTCTGTACACCTACTTCATCCTACCTGTTTCTTCTGTACACCTACTTCATCCTACCTGTTTCTTATTTACACCTATTTCTTCCTACCTGTTTCTTCTGTACACCTACTTCTTCCTACCTGTTTCTTCTGTACACCTACTTCATCCTACCTGTTTCTTCTGTACACGTTCTTCTTCCTACCTGTTTCTTCTGTACACCTACTTCTATTCTAACTATTTCTTCTTTACACCGACTTCATGACAACCATTTCTTTTTTGTGGCTACTTCGTGATAGCCGTTTCTTCTATAAGCCTACTTAGGAACTGACTACTCCTACTTCGTCACACCCGTTTCATTCATATGCTTATTTCATTATTACTTCTATCTGAGTCACCCCACCCCTATTTAATTTGTCACCCTGTCCCTATATATTGTGTCATCCTTGCCCTATCGCGTAGGTGCGGTGGGGTAGCCTAGTAGTCAAAGCGTTGGCTCGTCACGCCGAAGACCCGGGTTCGATTTCCCGACATGGGTTCCAATGTGTGAAGCTCATTTCTGGTGTCCCCGTCCGTGATATTGCTGGAATGTTGCTAAAAGCGGCGTAAACCAAGACTCACTCACTGACCTATCTAGTATGTCATCTAGTATGTTATCTAACCCCTATCTACTATGAATGAATGAATTTCTTTATTCCCTTCAGAATTTACATCCGAAGATGTACAATAGCTCTGATATTTCTGAGAGCAAGCGTTTTGTGCTACTATTTACATAAACAGTTGTAATATTTACAATACATCTAAACATATGTTCATCATCAGCTGTGTACAACAGATGCAAAGAGGGGATAGTCTAATACATTTTAAAAAATTTAAGATATATTCACAGTATGTTTGTCATATGCTTTCCCAAGTACGCTGGTTCATAACCAGATTGTATTTGAACTGAGCCCAAGAATAGTACAAGCAAATTCTCTTCCAGAAGTTCAATTTGATCATAACTTTCAACATCCAGTTTATCCATGAGGGTGGAGATGCATTCATTTCGATCATTGATAAAATATTCACAGTGTAAAAGTACATGTCAGTCATAATCAAAGGTGTGTCTGTCACATTTAGAACATTCTCCAGATGTATTGGTTCTGGAAGCTTTCTTTATTTTAAAAATATCTAAAATTAGGATAAGTTAGAGCTAATTTCTATAATACATGTAATCTAAGGTTTGAGTGAGTTGACCTGTATCTCACCAGATCCTCTCTCATTGACAATCTGAGTTTCCATCGATCTTTCTCATATAAGGGTATTGTATTACAAACATTTTTTTCTCCATTTAGTTTTGCCAGAAAATATTCCTGTTCGGGTATAGGTCGAAATCACATGTTTATGTTTATATTTACCAGCTGTTAATATCATTGTGTCACATATGCTAGTGATAGTTTTGATATTATGAACACTGACTAAAGCTAAGTATGCACATATAAATATGTTTCTTTTCAGACTAACATGAGTTTTTGAGTTTCAAAATTCGTGCCACATTCGGGAGGGAAGTTCAAATTGACCTAGCTTTGTAAGAATGCCGTTCGAATACTTAGAATGCGCTTCGAATGATCCTTGCACATTCCGAGTGTATTAGCTCTCGAATGCAGCTCAAATGTAGTTGGAACACAGTAGGAATATTTAGTATGCTGTTAGAATGCAGTCATACTCATAAAGTGCGGTTCGATTGCTGCCCGAATAACGCCCGGCGTGTAGTTGGAAGGTGCCTCGAATTCTGTACGAATTCACGACTGTACGAATGCAGTCAGAACACTCCTGGAATGGCCGCCGAATATGGTTCGAACGCCCAAGAATTCAAACAGAATTCAGCTCGAATACTTAGAATGTACTTCGAATGTAACACGAATGTCCCGAGCTGAATT